TTCTATCCAGAGGTCTTCTTCCTCTGTGTTATACCATTTCTCTAACACTGACTAAAAATGCCCTCTTCAGCTTTCCATCTGCATGAGGACCCTAAGCAAAGGCTCCCACAGAAACCATATTTTTATGGCTTTTCTCTTCCACCTAAGATCCACCAAGGGCTCTGCATTTCACCAAAGAGTCAACAGAGATAAGACCAGAGATTTAAGTAACCGGCTTGTAAAAGTAAGCTCATTCTATTTTATTCAAGAAGGTCTCGTGTGGCCTAACTCCCCCTGGTCACATGATCAGAATTCAGGTTGCCGTGTCCTAAGGGTTACGTAATCATTTTTACGACCTTCTGATAAAGTCAACAGGGAATCCAGATTCACTTAACAACTATGCTATTAGCACAACAACTGCAGTGATTCACTTAACAACAGTGGCAACAAAGGCCATAAAATGGGTCAAAATTCATTTAACAAATGTCTTGCTTTGCAACAGAAATTTTGGGCTCCATTGAGGTCACTAGGTCAAGGGCTAGCTGTGCTGTGCTTTGGCTCCCTCTTTTTATTTTGCGGGGGGGGGGGCAACTTCCTGGCACATCTCACTCCGAATTTTCTTAAGTTTCCTGCCTCATCATCCTTGAAGGGAGCGTCCAGTTAACCTTTCTGCCCTGTTCCACTAATCCATCGCAGCTCCAACCAAGGTATTCCTCCGTTTTAAATGCTGGTTTCTCATCAGGATTTCTCCAGTTATGACTGCTGAACTCTTTATAGATCAAGATGGCTCCGTTAACTAGTTTCCATAAAGATGTGAGGTGGGGGGAAGCCACTTTTTGTGCTTTTATTTATCAAGATAGTTTAATTCATACCCTCTTCCTGTTTGTCTCATCATTTTTAATTGCTATTCTTCATCACAATTGCTTCATGCTACTGTTCTGCCATATTTTAATCGTTTTTTAAAAATATGTTAGCTATACTGTTACACAGACTTGGAATTCTGATCTGAAGAAGAGTTTTATTAATGTTATAAATAAAAAAGAATATTGGGGCATATGTATAAAGCTGTTATCTATCCTGAATTAGGTGAAATATAATTCCCAAATAAGAATAAATGACATTATCCAGTTTGGAATAAAAATATAGTCTGTCAACAACAACCAAAAAACATGCTGTTTATATGCCACCTTTGTGCCCAAATAAATGGCTGTGTTAATTTTATGGAAAAATATAGACTGGTCAATGATGTAAGGCAGAGTTCCCTAACCTTTCCGGCTTTGAGGACTGGTGGGAGGGTGAAGAGTGGGGATGGTGACCTGCGAGCAATGGGCAAGCACATGTGGGGGCAGCTCCATTTGCACAGCCCAGTTCCAAATGGCTCAAGGCCTGGGAGTGGGCCGCAGCCCGGGGGTTGGGGACCCGATTTAAGGGCATTGATCCAATTGAAAAAGTGAAAGAAAGGAACTCTTCCCCCCCCTTTTTTTTGTTAGCTGTCACCAGCAAGTCACAATGAATTTAACTGTCTCTTGCAGGGGCATCCATGATGAATAGAAGTAAGCGGTCAAAGTCAAAAGCATGGCCACAACACCCCATTAAAGGCCCACCCTTTCTTTAAATGTGTGTCTTGATGCGCATTCCAGAGGGTTTTGATGACTCGGTCCTGGCTGCCATCTTGACTTTTATCTCACCCCTCTCCCGATGCCTCTGATCTCTTATATTTGCTACAGGTAGTCCTTGACTTATGTCAGGTTCGGAATTTCCATTGCTAAGCAATGCAGTTGTTAAGCGAGTCATCACAAGACCAAATCTGATTTTACTTAGATATTTATGTATTTGTTATTTATTTGTTAAATTTATTGGGCCGACCATCTAGTCATGGGGCTACTCTGGGCAGCTTACAATAGTAAAATGGACAAAGTGATAAATATATTAACATGATAATAGTAAAACAATGAAACCATAACAATGAAAGCACAACATGAATTAAAAGATGGGTGGGACAGAAGAAAGCATAGGTGGGAGGTTAAGTCTGCTAATTAGTCCAGTAGCCACCTCCAGTATTTTACAACCATTTCTACAAGGGCTGTTAAGTGAATCACGTGATTAAGCAAATCATGTGCTCATTAACTGAATCACACAGTCATTAAGCAAATCTGGCTTCCCCAATTGACACTATCTGTATCAAATAGAGAGATATCCTAATTCTGTTTCAACCAGTCATTTCTTCGTATATATACAGTTAATCTGAAACTAATGAAGTTGCTGCTCCCTTTAAGATGATATGGCTGATGCCTTCAAGCAATGGATGTAAGATAACCTAAAGCAGGGGTCTTCAAACCTGGCCCTTTTATGACTTGTGACTTCAACTCCCAGAATTCCTCAGCCAACATGCCTGCCTGAGGAATTCTAGAAGTTGAAGTCCACAAGCCATAAAAGGGCCAGGTTTGAAGACCCCTGACCTAAAGTTTCAGGATTACTCTTGGGCAACCACACTCCCTCCCCTCTTAAGTTTCGGGGGGGGGGCTCGTGTATGTGCAGATCAGGTGGGACTGAGTTGAGAAGTGGGGACAAAGTCCTGGAGCAGAGATGGAAAAACACCTCCAAAGCAGAGTTTCTCCATCTTGGCAACTTGAACGTGGGTGGACTTCAACTCCCAGAATTCCCTAGCCAGCTTTGAGAATTAAAGTCCAGACATCTCCTAGTTGGCAAAGTTGAGAAAGGCTGCTCTCAGGGCTCCTGGAGCCACAGAAAGGAAGGCCTCCTGAGCTACAATGCATCTCACTTGAAAAGTATTTTAAAGGCTGCAGCACTTTTTTTTAGTCTGTCTCTTATAATAGAGTGATTTAAAGCCACCAAATCACTGATGGTTCCTTGGATAGTTGGTTATAAAAGGATGATTTTTATTAGTCTGGGGAAAGTTGAAAATGTGGTAGAGAAAACAGTTAAAGCAATTTAAAACAAATCATACCGTAACTACTGAAATGTGCCTAAATCCATCTAATGCGTTCAATTAACAACTACTTGAAATCTTTAGACTAAGAATGAGGAAATAATGCTACTTTAAATAGGATTAGTTAATACTGACCGCCTGCCTTTCAGAAATAGAGGCAGAGTTAGAGTTGAGCCGTGCATGATTAAGGTTTACAAGAGTGGAATGAAAAGAGTAACAACCTCAGGTCCTCCCCGAATGCTCCCCGACCCACCCAAGCATCGGCAGGCTGCACTAATAGCGATGGCCTTCCGTGACTTGGGAGAGAGGCACCTCGCCTTCTGCAACACGTTTCCCCTCACTTTGCTCATTTAACACACGTCACTCAAACCACTCCAATAAAACAACGATCATGCTGAAGGGAAGTCTCGGGGGAGGAGATGACACACCAATTAACAAAGCACAGACAGACAAATTGTTCCATGCCTCTGACAAGGAAAAAGGAGACTTGGGCAAGTGTGTAAGGAGAGAGAATAAGTGAGACCTCCCTTGTCAACCGTAACAAGCTCCCTCCCATTTTTCCATCCAGGTCATGGTTGTCCCAAAGGTGCTTTTTCAAAAGGCAACTGGGCTGTCTTGATTTGGTAATGGCCAGGCAGAGGTCCAGCACGGCACAGGGGCTGAGGCTGGTTCCCTCGCCTAATGTGCTGTGAGAGCTTCAGGTGTGGGAATGCAGATGAGCAGTGAAGTCGTATCATAACAAACCACAGTCTGTATCCAAAGTTGTTTCTAACCCTTGCTGACAAAGTCCTGTGAATTGTTGATGGGCGGTGCTGCCCATCAGAGGAGCTAATAAGGTGGTTAAATGTTTCGCAATGTTGTAGGTGATTGAGTTGATGCTGCTGACAACTGGTCTGAGCTGAGTTCCCTCTTTGTGGATTTTGGGGGGTCCATATAGGCATGGAGTGGAGAAAGTCCAGGGAAAAGCACCTTTGAGACATCCCAGCTATGATACGGGGCAGCTTAGGCAGAACAAGGAGCGCCACGGCCAGGCTAGGAAAGTAAGGCCGCAGTCGGCCAGAAGCAAGGAAGCAGCTGAGGCCCCTTTCCCAAAGACTTCTCACCTCACAGATGGACAGCGCACCTGAGGGTGGAAGGAAGACCTCCCAAGGCGCTCTATGGGGAGGAGGGCCTGGGGATAGAAGCTCTGCCCAGGTTGGTAGTAAATCTTCACAAGACAAATGTCAGTCCACTCTTAACGTGGACAAAGCTGGATCCAGCGATTAGTCCCCGCATCACCCAAAGCAAAATATCCGTTAAGGAAGAGAAAAAAAGTCCGGTGAAAAGTCTGTCTGGACTGACGGAGATTCGTCCAGCAAGAACCAACCCCAGCTGATCCTGCATGGCAACCAGCCACAACTGGCCAGCTGTATTACTCTCATGACAATCACAACTGTCCACTGCAACTCTGCCTCTTGGCCCTGCAAGTCTTGCTTGTGCTCCAAGTGGACTTTCTCGTCCCCAGTCAGACTTCAGACAGGAGCCAGGCTGGCCCATTTCCCCAGACTCGCTCTCTGACGCTTTTCTGATTCACCGACTTGGCATTCATAGAGGAAGGAAGACTGACAACCAGGCTGGGCAGAAATTGGCCGCTAGAAGGGAACCGGAGAGCAACTCTTCCCCAGAGGGGTGCAAGGGCCTCTAAAGAACTGAAGGAGAAGACCAGGAGTTTTTGACATGTGCAGTTGAAAGCAAAGGGGGGTCAGAAAAGCAGTCACCACGGGAAGGGCACAGGAACATGGGCTCAGGTGCAGTCAGACCTCTGGGCGTGAGTGGACTGTTGCCCAGTACAGCTGTGCCATCTCAGCAGTGCAACGCAAGACGTGGCCCTTTACAAACCCTCATTGGAATAATTTCTCTCCTTAGAAGAGACCAGGGAGCAGCTAAGAATGAAGGCCTGGCTTGACGGCTCTTCTCCCAGCCAAGGGCGGATGCTAGGCTCTTTGGGGGGTTATTTGTTTCCTCTGCTGTTCAGGATTAAAGGTGTTATTTTTGAAAACAAAACAAAACAAAAACCAGATAAGACACCTACCTCCATGAAGGAAATCCCTAGACTCCAAACATCGGAATGAATGCCGTACTGTTCTCCAGAAATCCGTTCAGGCTGTTAAAAACAAACAGGGGAAGGGGACCTAATGAAATGCCAAGGAACGGTAACGTGATAGCCTATAAATTATGCAAGAAACAAAAACTCACGTTTCAAACATTCATGAAGTGCCTACAGGCATTTACTGCCTCCATTTACTGTACTAATTAATACCAGCAAATTTTAATTTTGATTCCCCCTGCTGCTTCGGCAGAGTGTGGAAGCTCCACCGTAGGCCATGGCACCCGATGCACCCGAGAACAGTCCCAGGCTCGGCCCCTCCCCCGTGGCCAGGCATCCCTGAGCAACTGCTTGTCGAGGTTCACCTGCACCCCCAAACCCAGCTCAGGTAAAGCCTAAAGCTGTGAGGTTGGGGAGGAACGCTCATTTCGCCCCCTCCTCACCATGGGGTGCAATGTAGATTATGGTGCTGGGCAAAGAGACCTCTGGAGTGACCACTGGAGGAGCAGCAGCACCTTCTGCAGCCCTTTCACTCTCCACAGCTCAAGAACGCCCAGTTCCTCCATACAGGCAGCCCTCAACTGACCACCTTTCATTTAGCAACCGAACAAAGTTACAAGGGCGCTGAAAAAAGTGACTTACAACTGGTCTTTTTTAAAATATATATATATATATATTATTGATTTTTTAGAATAACAGTCTTTGGTGCTTAGTAAACAACATGTTGTCTGGATTCATATATTTAACAACAGTGAATAGTAGTTAATTTCTATACTTTCATAATCAACATATTAACTAGAAATACTTTTCCTTGGTCATCTCTTCTTCCAATAGTATTCTCCTTTTACCAACATTAAGCAAATATAGTTCTTAATACTATCAATACGTACAAATTTAAATATAAACATTTTAATAATATTTAACAATAACATCAGTATGTAATGTCTTTTCTAATCAGCTTATTTTACAATTGCATTTGCAAAAAATCATCTTATGTAAATCACTATAGGTCCTGTTTTCAGAACTCTTATTTAAGCTTAGTTCCCCCTCAGTAATCAAAACATTTCTTGTCAGTTATAGTTTTCTCAGAGTTGATTACATTTAAATATCCAAAATATTTCATACGTTTAAATCATCCCAATGTTTTTACATTTCCTATATCATAAAAAAAAGAAAAAAGAAAAAAAATACTATATACTAATTATAAATCACATTTCTCTTTGTTTGCCTCTATATTTTCCCCAATCATGGCATGGAGAGTCTTTCTTTTCTAACTGACTAAGTTGGGACGGCTGACATCTGGAGAGGCCCCTAGAAGCAGTGTGTGAATCCTCCAATCCTATGAGCAACTTCTGCTCAGATTACAGCCTACTGAACTATCTGCAATACTCAATGAGAGCAAAATACGCAGAGCCTCTCAGAACATCCCTTCTTGCCTTGGGTTCCTGCCTCCTCCTCCTCCTCCTCCTCCTCCTCCTCCTCCCTAACTCAAGCAGGTGGTGTCATTGCCTGCCTGCATGAGGCAAGCCCAAATCCAGCTTCCCTTTAAATGCTCCAGAGCTAATGTGGACGGGCTGCCTCACACCAATTACGGGACAGTTTAATCCCACTTGAGTCAGCAAGGGATGCCAAAGCCGGTCACTCTTTAACTTAGAAGCCGGGCTGTGTACCACGGAGATCAAGTACGGTGTGAAATGCAACGATAAGACAAGGAGGCGAGAACGTCCTTCCCACTGTGCTGTTAATGCACCTGTCTAGTTGAGGCACCTTGTACAACCCCTCCCAGGCTCCTACAAAGCCCAGAAACCTTTAGAGGAAAACAAATGGGCCCAAATTAGTGACAGTTCAACGTGCTCAACAAATAAGTCCTTGAAGCTGTTAATCCCAGGTCAAGAGCTTTTAGCGCCAAGTAAATGTTAAGTAAAAAACACTGAACAGAAAAGCCTTTAAGTCGTTGCCTTCGAGACAGGAGAGAGGCTTAAACCTCCCGCAAGCAGCAGCCTGCAGAGATGGCAGGGCAGGGCGCTTAATAACGGAATTCCAATCAGTTTAGGATCTGGATTTGGGTCTCCTCAGGTCCTGCTGAGATCCAGCTGGCAGTCGGTGGGATCCGGCCTGACTTCCCTGCTCTCTGTGCTGCGACGGCTGCAGGCCAAGAACCCTGGCCACCGGGCCCAGCTTCGGTCCACAATCCGCCTCCCTGGCGTGCAGCCTCCTCCTCCTCCTCCTCCGTCGACTTCGGTGACCATGAAGCTCCTTGGAGAAGTTAAGGGCTCATGTGGAGACATCCTAGTAAGGCTTGCGTCAGCCCCGAGCTGGGAAATAACAAACCCATCTTGCCTTGTCCCGCTCCAAAATCCAGCAAGGCTTTGGTGTTCTTGTTGGACATCTCATCCGATTTCAGACATTTCTCACAAAATGTGTGCCCTCTGGGCTCCCTTGGATCCATGCTCTGTCCTTGCACATTCCATGCAAGGCTCAGCTTTTTTGTGGCACGCTTTGAATTGCTTGCGGCAGAAGTACAGGTAGTCCTCAACTTACACTAGTTCACTTAGTGACTGTTCAAAGAAACATCACTGACTTATGACCATTTTCCACACTTATAATTGTTGCAGCATCCCACTGGTCAGGTGATCAAAATTCAGGCGCTTGGCAACTGACTCATATTTAGGACAACCGCAGCGTCCCAGGATGATGTGATCACCTTCTGACCAGCAAAGTCAATGGGGAAGCCAGATTCACTTAACGACCGTGTTACTAATTTAACAAGTGCAGCGATTCATTTAACAACTGTGGCACGAAAGGTGGTAAAATGGAACCAAGCTCACTTAACAACTGTCTCGCTTAGCAACAGAAATTCTGGGCTCAATTGTGGTCAAAAGTCAAGGACTACCTGTACAATGATAAGCAAAGCATTATACTGAGGACCAAGCTTCCTGTCAATTAAGCGTCAAGGAAGACGTGTCCTCTTGAGGTGCCAGAGCCAGAAAGAGTCACTAGGTCAGCCACGGCCCTCGGGCTCAGGTGTTCCTGACTGAAGTCCCACAAACTCTGCCGGGGGGGCGGGGCTCAAAGATTACTGTCCCAGGAACCCCTCTTCAGTCGGCCATCCACACGGAGCAGAGGCTACAGGTGATACCTTTTCAACCCGTCAATTTCTGAAGGCAAGCAAGAACAATCTGTCCTTGGTTTCAGGTTATCCTAGAGCACATTATTTCTATGGCATTTTCCAGCATTCTGATGCGTTACAGAGATGGAAGCAGTTTCCTTAGACCATTTGATTAGAGGAAGATTATGTCAGTTTCATGCTATAGCTACAGTGGATAAAGACCCTTTTGGGCTACCCTGACTTCATTTTGAGGGCCTCACGTTTTTCCAGACACACACCCAATGTGGCAGAAGAGCTGGGCGTTTTATTATTCCCTTTTGTTTGTTTGTTTTACAGGTGAGTGGGGGGAGCTGCTGCCTTTGTCATAGAAATTCTATTTGTGTGCCTTATTTACAACATCCTTTTTCATCTGTCTCTCTGTCTGTCCATCCCCTCCCTTTTCTCTGAACATTCACCCACGGGTGGGGGTCTCCTCTTGTTTTATCCTCCAAATACAGGATGGCATCAAGGTCTACCAGGATGCTCCAGGCCTGAAAGGAAGCTTCTCTTGATTTGGGGGGTGGGGGTTGGGAGTCTGAGCCCAAGATCTTAATCACAAATTTCTATGCCATTCTGTTATTTTCATGTATGTGTCATGTATCAAACAGATCCTCCTTACTTGGCAATTGGAGAAAAACTAGAGAAACTAATCAAGAAGACAAAACTGAAGATCCCACCCCGAGTTTTTAGTTTAAACCAAAGTATCTTCATACATTTACTTACTGCCATATATGCATTCGTCCCGACGTATGTCTTTGCTATGGAATTCACCAGCTATCAGACAAAACAACTTGTTAGGGCCATATAAAGCACAAATGAAGTAGGTAATTATTCCTCATTTAACACTAATCATTCTATGTATAAATCAGAAAAAATATGTAAAGTGGGGAGTGGACACATTTGCCAGCAAAGGCATTAAAATCTATCCTCCTGGGTTTCCTTCAAATGGGAGTCCTCTTTTAAAATATCCATAATATTTCAATTTACAAGAGAGAACAAAGGCACCTCTAAAATCTGAAGGAGGAAGCTTGGAGTATTTAGTTTCCTACCAAGCAGCTGGATCAGTCTATTGGAAATGGGGTGTGTGTGAAATCCAGCACATTCAAACAGTCCTCCTCCTCCTCCTCCTCCTGTCAGCTGGGCCCAAGATGTGAATAAAGCCACCTTGATTATCAGGCTGGAATGAACACTAAATATGCTGAGGGACAACAGATTCTGACAACATATAATGCAGCCGTGACCTCCTCTTTGGTCCTCATGTTTGGCTGGGAGGAAAGGCGGCTGCAATTCAATTCAACATTGCAGCGAGCGTGAGGGTCAGTTTCACGCAAGGTTCTCAGGGGAAGCCCCAAATGGAAATTAATTAAAATTTGTGCTGCACATTGTTAAAGCCCACCACCATTGTTGCTCCCAATATTAATTTTTACTATGGGCCAGTCGGTCTCCCCAGACGCCCCTCTCGTTCTGCCCTTCCTTTTGTTTGGCCCAAGCGCTTTCAGAGCCAAGCTGCATATCAATGAAGTTGCCTATTTGTGAGTAGTAATTACAATATCAGCAGTTTTTACTGTCATTAAACAATGAACAATCATATTCTGATGAAGAAAAGTCACCAGGAGATTAAAAAGGAGGAATTATACGTTCCCAGCAGAGGAAGCTCTTGGAGGAGAGTCCATTTGTCTCCTGGCTAGTTTGGAAAGTAGAATTAAGAGGAGAGGAACAGAGGGACGTACCTGGGTGCTCACTCCAAAGTCACATAACTTGACCTGGCCTCTTGTGTTCACCAACATATTAGAGGGCTTCACATCTGTGTTGGACGAAGCAACGAAAGCAGGATAAATCCAGAGAGCATTGATTTAACAGCAAATGCAGCTGATGGCCAGATAAAAGAAAAATGAGTCTGTGCAAAAATGTAATTTGAGAAATTATCTCAGCTTTGACCCGCCACTGGCCTCAGAAAGATAACAGGAGAGAGGGAGGGGGGAAGCACAGTCTTGCAACCTTCTTGTCAACGCTGCAAATACTGTATATTCTTGCTATAGAGTTATCATAAAAATAATATTAGCTTGTGTGGTTGCCTTGTTTGGCCTACTGTGGAGGAGGACTGATATAAGGTCAAGAGGAGCGGGAGAGGCCAAGAGTGGCCCAGTAAGAAGCCGAGGGTAAGTGGGGCTTTGCAGGCCAGAAGGACAGCGACTCACCCAGAATAAGAATCTCCAAAAGAAGCCCAGAAGGTGGCTATAAGAGTTAGGCAATGTGGAGGCATATCGAAAGGCACTCTTCTAGTTACCAGAGAAGAAAGCAGAACTTGTGTGAATAGATCTGGAGATGCTGCAAAGACGTCTGGTCATGGGTGGTGTCTGAACTGAAGGAAGAGTCCTTGCTTTACAAGGAGAACACCCAGTTGGAATGAGGAATCTGAGAGGCACGAATCTTTTAGAGCTTGAACTGGTCAACTTACCAAGTTGGATATCTTAGGAATAAATGGACTGGAATGGGCCATTTAAAGTCAGATGACTACAAGATATACTATGCAGGGCATGAGTCCATAAAAAGGAACAAAGCAGCGATGAAAATGAAAAAGGGCATCAGCAAATATGTGTTCATCTATAATCCAATAAACATCAAGAACATATTTCCCCGAATTAGTGGTTATCAAGAAAACATCGATGTTATACAAATCTCTGCATCTGCAAAATGAAGGAAGGCACTGAGCAATTCTGTGGCAAATCAGAAGAGGTGTTAGATGCAACATCAGAAAGGGAGACAATTCTACTAATGGGTAATTGGAACGCATCAACTGGAAAAATGAAGAACACTATAATTACATGGAGAAATCAATTTAGTAAATATAATTACATGGAAAATGGGTTAATAATTTTGCAAAAAAGAATTCTTTATTACTGCAAACACCTGTTTCAAATACTATGAAAAGAGATGCCATAGCTGGACACGGCAACCGTCATAAATAGGAGTCAGTTGCCAAGTGTATGAATTTTGATCACATGACCATGGGGATGCTGCAACAGTTATAAGTGTCATAAGTCACTTTTTTCATTGCCATTGTAACTTTGAACGATCACTAAATGGACTGTTGTAAGAGGACTGCCTATATAACAATTAACTTGAAAAATTCAAGAGACTAAATAGGTCAGTGAAGTATGATTTGAATGGGACTGATGAAAGGGACAGCTCAACCTGCCTCTTTGTTACAAAGAGGAAGCCGAGGAGACAGAATGTTAGTGGATGAGGGGAAAATTTCCCCAACATTTAAAAGACAAGGAGACCCAAAGAGCTTTCATAATAATCCAGGGAAAGGCAGAGGATGAGAAGGTGGAAATGAAACATGTATAATCACTTAACTTAGCTTTCTAACATCTAGGAAGGGAAGATCAGAAAAGATGTCACAATCAAGATTTCTTAAATGTCAAACAAAAATTTACAGATATGGTGTGAATATTAGGGATGCCACATTGAGCTCCTGGAGGAAATGTGGAATATAAATCTAACAAATGAGTAAAATAAGCTTTATGAAGGAAGAACAATGAAATAAATGTAAGATTGGTGCTTTTTCCTTGCCATTATCTGAACTGTCAACAAGATTCAAGCCCTCAATTACAAAAACATACCCACTGCTTTATTTAGAAAACATAATCTATTCTCCTCAAAATCATCTTTAAAAACCAGACTCTCTTCATCTTGTATGTGCAAGGAGGGGCATGCAGACTGTTTCATCCTGAACCATTTGCAACCATCCTATCCTGAGCAGTGTTTGGAACTGAAGTGTTTTGAGCTAAAAAGCAGTGGCATTTCCCTGAGGTTTTGCATTTGAAACAATTCAAAATGAAATTTTTTGCACATCTCACCAGCACAGCCCTGAATTCCAGAGTAGGAGACGCCTGTGCAATACAATCGCCAGTGAGAAATGCAAATTACCCAGAGCTCATAATAAGTGGCAACACAAAGCTTTTTCCTTTCCCCAGTGGTGCCAAGACTGCCGCCCTGGACTCAGCTTTTTCTAGAGAGATTGGCTGAAATGCAAGGCACAGACGATCCCTTGCACAAGCTAGATGGTTCTCTCTTTTCTTGGCAAAATGTTCTACACTGAACGTTTTTCACAAAAAAATCTACATGTTTTACCAGCTGATGGAAGACGCATGGATTTCCTACAAAAAAGCAAGCCTTAGCAAAAAAAGATCTGTTCACTCAGACACTAGACCAGGGGTGGGGAACCTTGGCTCTTTTATGACTTGTGGACTTCAATACCCAGAATTCTTGAACCAGCCATGCTGACTCAGGAATTCTGGGAATTGAAGTCCTCGAGTCATAAAAGGGTCAAGGTTCCCTACTCCTGCCCTAGACCATTTGACCAAGCATAGGAAGCAACTGGGGACTCTGATGAAAGATCACCCCCCAAGAAAGAGGTTTAGCAAGATAAGGAAACAAAGAAAAAAAGGTCTGTACCAGAAAAGCTCCAGGAAGATGCCAGGCGACAAAAGCAAACTCACCTATTATTATTATTTAATGGGCTAATGTGGAATATTCCAAATACATGAGAAAGTGAAACCATCTTGAGACCTTACTTTGTTTTTGAATCTCACCCCAGTCTATATGCAAACCGACCTTCACAGATCTCCACTGAGTCAAAGAAAGGAGGCTCGGGAGCCCCTGCCGGGTTTTGCTCCCCAGTCAAGGCCGACTGCAAGGGAGGGGACGGGGCTCCTCTCGGTTTCAAGGCCGCTGAGCCAGCATGGAGGCCTGAAGACATTTCCCTGGTCTTGGGGCCAGCATGATGTCACGGAGCGCTCTTCAAAGATTGTGTGGTCTTAAATTCCACCACAAGCCGGTTAATTTCAAGATCTCAAAATTCCTTTCCTGAAATTGGTCTGAATCGTGACATTCAAATGAAACATAAAAGAACAAATACGCAACTCACCTCTATGTAAAATTTTTAAGCTCCATAAATAAGTAAGGCCTTTAACAACCTACAAATCAGGAAAAAAAGAAATGGGTCAATATATTTAATACATAGCATAACAGGGAGATGCGTATTTTCATTTTGCGGAGCTAGGATTGAAATCTAGTGATGCAAAAATTACAAAAGAAAAGTGAGTTGGCTGAGTCAGGCCTCAACTTTGCCCTTTGAGGATCTTCCCCATTCTTACCCCCTTGGTGTAGGTAAGTCTTTCTAGGCTACACTGGAAAGTCAAAACAGTTTGGAAGAAGGGAAGAGAAAACTTCTTCCATGAAATTTTTTTTCACCATAGGGTTTTCTCTTGCCTTCTTCAGACTTTTTGACTTGTCCATGAAGTTCAACATGAGTCGAGCTTTAGCCAAAGAAGTATTTCTGTTTTTCCCTCTTGGAATCTAGAAACCACCAGTTTTATCTTGCAATAAACTAAGGCATGAGAATAAATCTTCGCTTAATAAAAAAAAATGTCCACATTTCCATCTTACAATGGAAAGCAACTAGTCTTACGTTTTCAGAGTTTGCAAATATTTCATTATTAGAGACAGAAACGTAGGATGTTATTGGGGGAATAACATAACATACCACATAACAAAGAGGTAACTAAGTGCCTTGGTTTTTTACTGCATAATAGCAACTTCAGCTCACATAGCAGATGGAAATAGTGTTTTCTTTTTATTACAAAGAGTGACACAATTTGCATGGGTTTTAATGATGCATTTTTAACATTAAAGGTAAGAATGTTATCAAGAGAGAGAACAAAACCCCCACGTGTAGGAGTGCACAGACTGCTTTAGAGGTTGGATGTATCTGTTGAATGAATGGCTATACAAATGTCCTATTAACCAAACAACGGAATGGTTTTCATTTCTGTGTTTAAGACTGTTTTATAAATACAGGTCCAAAGATCTCCCACAGCCTCTTAGGCATCGATCAGACATCTCACTATTCATTTACACTAAACAAAAGGACATTTTCCAATCTGGGGCACAAACACAAAGTATTAAGCATTCAGTTGTGAAAGAGATGCCAGCAGAGAACAGCTCTTCACTAGATACTCCAGAAGCTATTGGAGGAACTCAATAAGGTAGGTTAGATAACAATGACTTGACAGAGCCTTGACACAAGCAGTTGTTGCACCTGCCATCAATCACTCATTTTCTTGACAGTTTAAGGACACCTCTGGGGGGGGGGGGGAGAAGGGTACGGGTAGAAAGAACCTATAATCAACATTAGCACTTCAAATACAGTGCAAGATGTCTCTACATCAAGAACTGAAAGGAAAATAAATGGGTAAAATGGCAAGTAAAATCCAAACCAATGTTAACTTAGGCAAGATACTGATGGGAGATGCTTGGAGCTGGCCCTTCTCTGCTGTCTTTCCTTGCTGTAGCAAATACACAAAGAAAGAAATCCAAGAGAAGGCAAATCAAGACTTTTACTTATATTTTTGTGGTAGGGTGACTGCAATAGAGTAGAGTAGAGTAGAATAGGTTTATTGGCCAAGTGTGATTAGACACACGAGTGTAGATGCAAAACCACAAAGTAATAATAATCATAATATCAAAGTAATAATAATCACGATAATGATACCAATAAGAGAAGGTAGCAGAACAGATGAGAAGGATAATAGTAATGCGACTCTACTACATGAGTAAATATACTTAGACATAAGACAGCACTGTGGGAATTAGATGTTCAGCAGTGTGATGGCAAGGAGGGAAAAACTATCTTTGTATCTGGTAGTTTTGGCATGCAAGGCCCTATAGCAACGTCCAGAGGGGAGAGGTTGAAACAGATTATGTCCAGGATGTGTGGGGTCTGTAGATATTTTCTCAGCCCTCTTTTTGACCAGGGCAATATACAGGTCCTCAATGGAAAGCAGACTGGTTGCAATTGTTTTTTTCTGCAGTCCTAACTATCTGATGGGCGTCTGTACCTGTCCTGTTTGATGGCTGTACCAAACCAGACAGTTATAGAAGTACAGATGACAGACTCTAAAGCAAGTACAAATGAAGTACTCAAAAGCAATTGACAAGATTCAGAGACCAAAATAAACCTAAAGTAAATATAGTTTAGAATTCATGGATTTTCTTAGCATTTTCTTCCCCGGTCTATTTGCCAAAATCTCTCACCAATAGGCTGTTTACAGATGGGGTGGGTGGGAGGAGAGCATTAAATTGTCCCATTCAACCTCTGTCTCAAAAATAAATAACTGGTTGGTATTTCTATCTTAGAGTCAGATAGTTCTGGCTATTTCATATGCCCTTATTCTGAGTTCACGTTTTAAAATTTAGATGTGTGAGAACAATCCCTTTAAAGTCAATTTGTCAAACAGCAAGCCAATTCATTGCACAGCCTTCAGCACACTAGGAATTCTTTGCCTGTAAAACATTTAGAAGACGCCACCTGAAATTCTATCTTGTCAGGGTGAACACGATCCCAAGAAGTAGAAAGTCTTTTTAGTCAAATGAAAGTTACAGGCGTAATTATTTAATAAGTTGCAAATTATTCCAAAAGGAAAATGAAACACTTTTCAGCTCGCTGAAACAAGCCACGTGAAAATCCCCAGGCTCTCCCACACCACAAGAAACCACATTGGGCTCAAAAGTAAACCCATCTGGAACTGTTCCAGAGGGAGCACATCTGATGAAAAGATGCTCTTTGCGCATGCATCTGAAGTACAGAGGATGAAGCCGAGCTGTGAATTACAATGAAAGTAGCCTAAATAGCTGTCTGCGTTAGATTAAAGGGTTTCAGTTGTCAGCTTGATGTATAATGAGTGTGGAAAACAGGAATTTAATTAAGTAGTACATTATAGAATAACTCTGATATGCTTTAAACCACTTAAATTATCAAAGCCTGCCTCTGATTTAGCCATTGTGCAACAATCCCCCTCTCTCAATGGTCAACTGGGCGTTCATCTTGCTGGCCTTTGTTCAGCTTTCAAATATTATGACATGCTGGCTCCAATTTGGTCAGTTCCGCTTAAGAACACCCTGCGGTGTGTGCAAAGGCGGATGAGGCATTATCAGGGCACTCTGCTCCCTTTTCACAGCCATGTTTACCCAGAAATACAAAGACTATTGTGCAATCTTGAAGATGATTATGGCGTATGTTCTCTGAATTCAAATACTTTCATTATATGCTTTTATTCAAGTGAACCTTAATCCATGCTGTAATCAATCAGTTCACTTTCTAAGCATTATAAGACTCTCTAATTTTCCCCATTTTTCTTGTCCCCCCGTCAATTGCTTCTACTGCACCTACACACATTGTTTTGCAATTCTATGATTGTGATTAAGCAATTCCACATTTATTAAATGTTTCAAGAACGGATATACCCCATACATGGTACTCACAGCTACAGCTATTCTTCCCAAGACGTGTTCTGGAATTTTTCTGTAGACATCTAAAGAGCCCCCTGCAGGGAGAACAAAACATGATCAGCTAAAGTTAAGCTGGTCTTCTCTAAAAATGTCACGTAGATCAGGGGTCTCCAAACTTGGCAATTTTTAGACTTGTGAACCTCAACTCCCAGAATTCTTCAGCCAGCATGACCTAGACGATTGGGTGTACACTTTGCTGTCTAATCAACTGGTGAGGAATCTGTGCCTGGTTTGCTCAAGAAATTTATCCTGAAGTGAAAGTGCAAAGTAAAGCAATCTTTAAGATTGTCATTAAAAAAACCCAGCAACACTTAAACTGCCATTTCAACCCACAAGAAACAACTTAGAAGAAAAATCTGTATTGGTGACTAAAGGTGTAAGACGAAGGAACAGATGTTTTGTTAGTAAATACAGATTGCATGGAATTGGGAAATATCAAACCACATATAAACCACCATTTATTTCTGCCCTATCTAAATTTTCAGTAAGTCTGTGCAGCTCTATTCAAGAAAACAGCATCAAGAAATAACTCTTGCTTGCCTGATGCATTGAGCCTTGTGAATGTTATTCTTAAAATACTTTTTTTTTAAAAAAAAGAAAAGAAAATCACTATCTGTAGGATTCATTTCATGGTTCTAAGGGATATTCTCCAACCAATTCCTATTTTCCAATTCCTTTTTTTAAACTATAGTCCTTCACCAATGTTATGGTATATCACTTACCATCCATAAATTCAGTACAAAGGGAAATCCGGTTTTCTACAAAAAAAGCACCATAAAATCCTATGATGTAGGATGAATCACACTGTAAAAAAAAAAGAAAGAGCAGGTTAAATTATTTTTTTAAGAAAAAAACGCATGCTAAACAGAATTGAAAAAGAAGTGCTAGAAAAGCATTACCTTATAAAGGATTTCTAATTCAGACATAATCTGTTTCTGAAGTTCTAGTGTAATATCTAAAGGAATCACCTGAAAATAAACATGATTATTTATCAGCAAGAAACATTCCTGTACCATTTCTTCTTTTTTTAAATGTATAAGCTCTAGTTTACATCAAGAAAAAAAAAATCTAGCATGTTTTTAGGTGGCACAAGTTTTGTCCTCACTGTTACTGGATCAATGCCATAGCCCAGTGTTTCTCAACCTCGGCCACTTGAAGATGGGTGAACTGCTGGCTGGGGAACTCTGGGAGTTGAACTCCACCCAGGTTGAGAAACACTGGAAAAATCCACCAGGAGGTGGTTCAGAGATTAACCTAGATCAGTTATACAATGTAACTTGACTTCTGGTACTTAAAATTACATCTCTTCTGAGTCAAGCTTGATTTTTGGTGACTTCATGGAGATGACCCTACCGCCACTTTCTGGGATTTTCTTTGATTTCCCAGCTTAGTATTCCTGACAGGCACCCATCCATGTATGGACCAGACCCACACCTGTTTAGCTTCCAACCCCACACAAGATGCTGCCATGTGCAAAACCCACCCTAATTATCCTACCACAGGGGATCCTAGTGGGCAGCCACCCTAGGAGCGGCAGATTCATTGATCTGGAAGGAAAACAGAAAATTCCTATCTTCTCCAGGACATTCTGTGTTCAGAATGAAATGTTTTGCCCCTACATAACTACAGGTAGTCCTTGACCTACGACCACAATTGAGCTCAAAGTTTTTGTTGCTGTGAGACTGTTTTTAAGTGAATTTTGCTCCATTTTATGATCACCCTTCTACAGTTGTTATCACTGCAATTGTTCGGTTAGCAACAAGGTTGATAAGTGAATCTGGCTTCTCCACTGACTTTGCTGGTCAGAAGGTTGCAAAAAGGGGATCATGTGACTCCGGGACACTGTAACCGTCATAAATATGAGTCAGTTGCCAAGCATCTGAATTTTGACCATGTGACCCTGGGCTGCTGCAATGGTCGTAAGTGTGAAAAATGGTCGTAAGTCACTTTTTTCATTGCTGTTGTAAATTTGAACGGTCACTAAATGAACTATTGTAAGTCAAAGATTACCTTTATTATTTAAATGTTGGTATTTTTAGGACAAATAATACCTGGAAATACCTGGAATCTCTGACAATTAGACTAGGAAATGTGAGGCTGGATCCCACCTGCTTTGAACCTTCTCCAAATGCCATCCCTGCCTGGCAAAAACAGGGTCCAGGCCTACACTTCTCAGAATCTGGATGGGAATTTCAAGATCAGTCGTGCTTCCCGGATTCAGCCCAGCCAGCGCTCCTCCTCCGCAGCTTGGCTTCTAACGGAAATTTCTTTCAATCCCTTGCTCACATCCAGCTGATCTCTAAACCTACATTTTTAAAGTATTGATGTCTGTCTAAACAGGGAAAAAAGTGCATAACCATTTCTATCAAGAATTTGCTTTAGGGTTATTTATAAAAGCTGTAACTGTAATAGAAACGCTGCCAAGAAAACATTTAACACATTTCTCCAAATCAATAGTCATTTGCCAACAATATTCACTTACATTTTTTTTTCTGGATGGAAAGCTTAAAACAAAGTAAACTGCTGGAACCGTTATATCAATTTTGGTCCTTAGAGGAGCAAGGAAAATTTAACCCTCTCTGGACTCTAAAAGAGACCATTTTAAACTTTAATGTTCCTCTTCACTTTATAACCAGTTCAGCTTCCCTCAAGACGAGCTTGCCCACCGCAAAACCTTCGGCTGGATATTGATCAGAGTGGATGACACAGAAGACAAATTCAGTATCGGCCAAGATAGGAAATGAAACAAGAAAGCCCGAAAGCTGCTGTAACTTACAGGTACGTTGATTTTTAAGAATACGAGGGGTGGGGCCCATTTTGTATAGAATAGTGGGACAGGGCTGCTTCCCCAAATTATATATTCACATTGTATACATCACATTGTGCTACACAGACCTTGTGTACAAAGTCTCTGTATTAAAGGTACAGATTAGATTAATAGGTACAAATTATAAACACTGTGCATTACAGGTACAGATTAGGTGAATAGCAGTAACTGCAAGAGGGATCTCGGAGTCCTAGTGGACAATCACTTAAATATGAGCCAGCCGTGTGCTGCAGCTGCCAAAAAAGCTAATGCAATCCTAGCCTGCATTAACAGAGGGATAGAATCAAGATCATGTGAAGTGTTAATACCACTCTGTAATGTCTTGGTAAGACCACACTTAGAATATTGCATCCAGTTTTGATTAGTATATTATAAAAAAAGATGTTGAGATTCTGGAAAAAGTGCAGAAAAGAACAACAAAGATGATTAAAGGGCTGGAGGCTAAAACAGTCAGACAATTGACTGTCTAGCCTCTTCTTGAAAATCTCCAGTGATGGAGCACCCACGATTTCTGGGGGCAAGTTGTTCCACTGGTTGATTGTCCTCACTGTCAGGAAGTGGCCCAGCCTGACGCCATCCTCTCTGTTAAATAACAGCCAGGCCACAGAGAAGGGATTTCTCAAGGCGGATTTCAAGGAGAAAGGGTTAAACCCCACCAGAAATACCTGAGCCATTTTCTCTGCTACACCTCCAGGACAAACAAGGATGAGTTGTCAAGTTAAATACAAGCACTCAAGTGACGGAATTATAATTTACTTGGTGCTCAATTTAAATTAGTGAGAGGCTATTAAAATATACAGTATAGCGATGGCAATTCATCACGGGCTGTCATGGATGACTTCATCTATTTGCCAGAGTTGCGTGTGTGCCACTAAAGGGAATGAGAGCAAAATCACAGGTCAAATTAAGCTGCAATTCCATTTTAATTCACTTATTTAATCTGTGGCAATATAATTGTCTTTTACAGTATGTACAACTCAGAAGAAATTTGGGAGTTCGATAGGCAGTATACAAATGATTAATCAAATGGACCATTTAAATGCTAGTTAAGAGCAGAAGAAACTCCCAGGAACTGCAGCCTCGCAGCCGGTGCTTCAGTGATATGGGAAAGTCTCTGGCAACTAGCAAGTGTTGACCACACCAGGAGGATGGAGGCCTTGGAGAAGATGGCCAGGACTTGGTCACAAACCCACATCTGGGGTTTCCTCCACCCTGATTTCTTACACTTTTAACACAATTTACATGGGATTTTTTTTATTGCCATCTATAAATGGAAACAATTTATTCCTCTGCCAAAGAGCCAGACCTAAACATATGCAACAAAGAATATTTTAAAGGATTTAGAGACTGGCAATCAAATAGAAGTAGTCCTTGACTTACGTCCTTTTGTTGAATGATAGTTCAGAGTTACATTGCCATTGAAAAAAGTGACTTATGACTTGTCCTCAAAGTTACAACCGTCACTCTATCCCCGTGATAACAATTGCAATTTGGCAACTGTCTTGCATTCATGAGGGTTGCAGTGTCCTGCAGTCACGTGATCATAATTTCCTAGCTGGCTTCCAATAAGCAAAGCCCAATATTTACATTTTGATACTCACCACTCACTGGAGCACAAAAATGGGAGTGATCGGAACCCTACACCACCGGGCTGAAGGTCTCCAGTGGGTGGTGAGAATCAAAATGTAAATAAAGATCTCTCTGTGGAAGTTTTCTGTAAACTTCAGTGTTAAGGCTTCTGTGTTCCTTAATGTGTACTGCGCAGTCCAGGAAGGCCAGACTATTTTCCTTAACAACTTCCCTTGTGAACTTGATGTATCTGTGAACAAGGGAAGATGTTAAGGAAAACAGTTGATGTGTCTGGTGAAGGCTTCCAATTCCTGTGTTTTAATCTTGACCTAAGTATCTTCCACATATCTATACTAGTGAGTGGGTGGAATTCCTGTGATGGAGTTTAGGGCTTTGATTTCTTTCTCTTCCATGTAGAGATTGGCCACAATGGGGGACACAACGGAACTCATGGCACAGGAGGGTTTTTGTCTGTAGAAACCAGAGCAACTGACTCCTGTTTAGGATGGCTGCCGTGTCCTGGGACCACGTGATCACCTTTGGCCACCTTCTGAGAAGCAAAGTCAATGGGGAAGCGAGATTCACTTAGCAACCATATTACCAACCTAACAGTTGCAGTGATTCATGTAACAACTGTGGCAAGAAAGGTCATAAAATGGGACAAAATTCACTTAACAACTGTCTTGCTTAGTAACAGAAATTTTGGGATCGATTGTGTTATGTATGCAGTAAAAATGTTTGGGGATGGTGAAAAATGAATCTTAAGAGGAAGCAATTTTAAGAAGAATTTGTTGTTCCACCAGAACATCATGATGGAGGAGAAGAATTTGGTAGGAAATTATCTGTAATTCTCCCTCAGAAAGAGGCTGGACAGTCAGGCATCAGCCCTGGAGCAGACATAAAAGCCTTAGCTTCCACTTTCTTTCTTAAGGCATTTAAGAATCTTAATTTTTGAATATAATCAAGAGGAAAGAGAAGAAACCACAATTTAACAATCTAAGATGAGAAAACTTATGAGATATACTGAGACGCTGACTTCAGATAGTTAAATAATCATACCATCAAATTAAATACTACACTGGAGAAAGGCCCCCTGAACACTTGTAGAGAATCTGTAGGGTTTTTTTTAAAAAAATAATAATACTAACATAAAGCCACCATTGTCAGTTCTGCAATAGATTAGAAGTCTTTCCTGCCTGTATTCCTCTCAGGACCAAGTTGTACAACCAAGAAAAGGAAGAAGAGATTGCTTTGTACTTCCCTCACTTATAAATTGTGCCCTTCAGTCCGGATGTGTGTTCACTGCAAAAATTGGCTTCACGTAATAAAGTCCTGGAAGAAGAAGACTGGGGCAGGGGAATCTTTTAAAGCAGATTTGTGAACAGACTTACCTTTACGGCTAGTATTTTCCCACTGGGGACATGGTTTGCTCTGCATCCAAAGAAGAAGACAGTCAGTTTAAAGCAAAGAAAAATCACAGCCATATTTTCAGTTTTACACAATGCTTGTTAAAGTTTCTAGCTAATGGCATCCCTGAGCAATTGAAGTTGTATGCTCGAGTGATATATGCAACAAGCCCAGTTCCAGTGATGCGGGCAGTTCCATACCCGAGCAACAAACAACTACAAAAATCAATCCTTGCAATGTGTGACTTATCAAGCTGAATAAAGCCTATCAGCCATGTCACACACACGCTCAGCAAACAACTCCCTGAGTCTCCCATTTCTGTTGCCTTTCCAGAACGAAAGGCCCAAGGAAGACTTGACAAACCTCAGCACGGAAAGCGAGGACCGGCCTAAAACAATGACCCTTCCAAGGCTAATTTCCAGCCCTCAGGGCGCGTTGTGTCCGTAGAAGGGAGCCCTCTCAACACAAGGAAATGCCCACAGAGCCAGCCAGATGCTTCCATGGTCTGAGCTGAATCATGGAATCCAAGTTGGAAGTGGCCACTGAGGCCTCAAGTAGAACTCCCTGCTTTGGCAGAGATCCAAATTAAAGCATCCCAGATGGATGCTGGTCCTGCTTCTGCTTGCACACATCGAATGATCAGGAGGCCATCACCCCTTGGATGCACTGTCAAACCATTTGTGTGGCTGGGAAGTTTTTTTCTGCTACAGTTCAGTTGAAATTTGCTTTCCAATAACTTAAAACCCCTTATTTTGCGTCCTTCACTCTGGAACAAGAGAGAGCAGGTCTTGACCTCTCTTTGTGAAGGATCCTTTCGGGCACTGGAAGAGGGCTTCCCACACCTGTTCTTCCTGAAGGCTAAACATACCAGCTTCCTAAGACTCAACCTCTGGCCCTTTCATGATCCTTGTTTCTCTTCCCTGAACCAGTTCCACGTTCTCAGAATACATCTTAAAATGTGCTGCCAAAAACAGTACTCAACGTGAGTCCTGGAAAAAGTAGAATTGAATGATTACTTCTGACAAATCAGCCATCAATAGGCACGTAGACATTAACAACATCTACAGACTATGCAAAAGAGACAATCCACGAGCCCAAAAGAGAAAAAGACCCAAGCATCTCTCCACCACTAATCAGCACTCAGATCAGCATGGATTAGCTCCAAGGTCAACTTCAGACCAACAATCAAGTAAGCAAGACCCCAATCAAGAAACTGCCGAAGAGCCAACAGCAAACAGCCCAACCAAAGAATCCCTAAGACCCCCCACCCACCCACCCAGACAGGCAAGACGCCAGAACAGAAACAGGCAGCTAACAGCACTCCTTATTATGGTACCACTGATGATGTTACCTAGGTAGGGTAATGAAACGTCTGCAAGAAAACAAGCAAGCTCAGAGAGCACCAAGGAGCCCTCACTGATTATTTCACACTGTGTAGAAACCACACAACTTGTGGTATACTGTATCTTGGAATTATATTTGATAATTTTTTGCAGTTCGATTATCCTCCTGACTCCATTCAGTTTATAGTCAGCTACCATTTGAAGTTTCTATCTGAAAGCTATGTATTCTCCATTCCAGCTATGGGGAAGGTATGCATCTGATTTCTGTGCTTTAATGAATTTTAAAAAGTATCTTCCTCTAAAAAATATTGCAGAGAAAAAATTACTGGTCTTCACAAACGGAATTTTAGCATTTAAAATGAGTGGTCTGGTAAGTAAATCCTAAAAACACCATAAGAAAAATTATTTCAGACCAAGAATTAACTTTCCTCGAGGGATTACTGAGAGGCCGACAGTGATAGGCAGAGTCATTACATCAGAGTAGGTAAAATGAACTGTAAACTATGGACGAACAGTGGCAAAACATTTTGACTTTTAGATCAGCAGAATGATAACCAAACAGGCTGCTGAGATAGCCTGCTTAACGTCTGTTAGCTTAATATGTCCTGCACGGGGCAGTTTGGCAACTTAATTAGCTTGTCAAGAAAACCGATCTTTTCGTCCCCCTCCTTCCTCTCTGAAGGGGAGGGTTGGTCTCTTGTTTTCAAGTGAATTAAAAAGAAAGAGTTGATGATTTAATTATGATGCACGCCAAGTCATCCGTGGAGGTTTGGGTTAAATTTCCAGCCAAGAGCAGTACCTGGTTTAGTTTACAGAGCATTGACACTAGCAATTTAACATTTAATTATCATTGTGGAAGGGATCACAAAGCGGATACTGTGCCCGTGGGGCACAGAGCACCCCTGGATACTGCAAGCACCACAACTCCCTGGAAAAAAGTAAATGGGCTTATTCCTAACCACCACCACATTCACCGTTGTCTTGACCTTCTCTAGCGCATTATTCGTAAAGTGATTAATGAAGTCTGCATGGGAACTTTGGTTACTCAGAAAGAAAACTGGACACCTTAGCAATGCTTTAATTAACAGCAAACCCTTCCAGGTCGGCTGCAACTCCTGCAGTAATTACCTGTTCCCATAAACTTGCTGGAAAACACATTCAGCCCTAACTGAAGAACCCAAAGTTGACGTTTAAATTATGCAGGTGTTCTCCTGGCTCAACCACTGGCTTCCTGCATTGGCGTCAAGATCAGAATACAGAATAACAGAATTGGAAGGGACCTTGGAGTTCTTCTAGTCCAACCCCTTGCTTCAGCAGGAGACCCTGTACCATTCCGGACAACAAATGGCTGTCCTGTCTCTTCCTAAAACCCTCTAGCGATGGAGATCACTGATGACCCAGTTATGGAGGCCTACAGGTACAAGGGGATGGATGTGCTCAGCTGCTTCCCCTGGCAAAGGACACAGAGAAAAGAGTTTCAGAGCCTTGTTGACTGCAGCAACCAATGACGTGCATTGCTGTGCATTGTGCGTTGCTGATACACAATTTTGGACAGTTTCTATGCTTGCAGTATTAATAGAGCCCCTCCTTGAGGGAGATGGGCCGCCTAGAAACTAATAATAATAATAATAATAATAATAATAATAATAATAATAATAATAATAATAAAAAAGTTGGAAGGGACTTTGGAGGTCATCTAGTCCAACCCCCTGCTCAGACAGGAAACCCTATACCATTTCAGACAAATGGCTGTCCAATCTCTTCTAATACAATATAATATAATAAATTTATTTATTAATATAAAACATGTAACAAAACACAATAAATAATATAATGTAACACAATATATATATAATGTAATATATCCTTAGTGAAACTTCTCAAGCCAACCACCCGGCTCACACAGCACCAAGGATGCCATGGCCTGAGCCGCAGACATTCTCTTCTGCTGGAATATTAATATGATGGAAGTACAATTTGTGACAATTGTGGGCTGGTTACACCAAGAATATAAAACCCATGAAAGGTGCACAGATCTTCGAGTGAGTGTGGGGTACAAAATAAATCACTCCCACAAAGAAAGCAGAGCTTCTTGGAAGGGCATCTTCCAGTCATTGTTCTTGTGAATCCCTTTAATCCGTTCATTCGTTCATTGGCCACCCATCTTACCACAGGGTGACCTTTGCTTTCGGAATCAAGAAAAATGGGGAGCTTTCCTGTTTCCAGATAGCATTTTGTGAATGGGGCACCCAGCCAAAAGAGTAAAGCTCAGATAGGAATTTTGAAATTCCTTTCTGAGTATAAACCAAGCTTAAGAAAGACAATTCCCCCCATCAAGAAAACAACGGCACAGAATTCTCTTGCCAAATGCTACCGATCGGGGTTTGTTATGCTGAGCCTTTTCTGAACAAGATGCAAAGAACAACTTTAAGCAGCACTGGCACAACTGTGTCAAATATTTTATTAAATTTGACTACTGCCTACGTCTTCAGACGTTTGGCACCCTGGAGGGACCATTATCCGTTTGGTGTCATTTGGAAAACTCAAAGGCTTCTCTGCAGGGCCTTCTGACGAGGCAGTGTGCCCAGATGATAAGAGAGCTATTGGGGGCATCGAAAGACAGACGGCGTGATCAAAGGTGCACATGAATGCACACATACACGCTTCATGTGAGCAAATCCTGCCACATTTCCCCTCCCCTCCCCTAAACCCTAATGGGAAAGGTACAACTGGTGAAACAGGCAAGCTGCCAAAAGCCTTTTCACTTCTATGGTTTCTGATGCAAAGTCTGCACTTAAAGGCCAACATTGTTGGGGGCTTGGGAGAACCTCAGTCCCTTGAGGCTGTGTGGACTTCAGTGCTGGCTGGGGAATTCTGGGAGTTGAAGTCCACACAGCTTCAAGGAGCCGAGGCTGAGAAACACTGGCTCAGAAAAGCCATCGGCCTGGAATTACGGGGAGTCCTCGGCTTACTACAGTTCGTTTAGTGACTGTTCAAAGTTACAACGGCACTGAAAAAGTGACTTATGGGCATTTTTCACACTTACGACCGTTGCCACATCCCCACGGTCACGTGGTCAAAGTTCATACGCTTGGCAACTGGCTCACATTTATGACGGTTGCTGTGTCCTGGTGTCATGTGATCGTCTTTTGCCACCTTCTGACAAGCAAATTCTGTGGGGAAGCCAGATCTATTTAACAACCTTATTACTAATTTAACAACTGCAGTGATTCACTTAACAACTGTGGCAAGAAAGGTTGTAAAATGGGGCAAAACTCACCTAACAAATGTCTCGGTTAGCAACAAAAACGTTGGGCTCAACTGCGGTCGTAAGACGAGGACCACCTGTACTTCCAGCACTGAGGCAAAGGCTGGGTGCTTCTTTGACCAGCTTGTTGAAAGCAAACATGAGGTAGTGGTGGTCCAAAGTAGGAGACACCCCCCCCCCTCCTGATGACAGCTTCTTCTTCTCAAATGAAGGGCCAGGGAGCATTAGTGGACCTCAAGCCCCAACCTTTGGAGCACAAAGGATGAACCAGGAGGAGGAAACTGGTCGCTTTGGAGGCCTCTGGCAAGCCAGGAACCCTCCAGTCTCTCCAGCACTCGCTCTGGATGCCACACTGTTGCGGGCAGCTGTTGTCTTGGCTCCATGAAATGTTCCTCCCTGAAAGCCCCCCATGC